TATACTTTGTCACTAGAATAAATTAAATTTATTTTAAAAAATGGGATGGATCTATTTAAAGATTTGTACTGACTATCTATAGTAAAGATATTAAAAGTTCTCCAATCAAAAATGTTAATTTTGGAATAGATATGAAATGATATGATTTATGAATCAAAAATCTCTATAAAGCAAGATATCATATATAAAACATCTATGTATGTAAATGCATGGGCCAAAGGTCCTGAAATCAAACAACTAATAATAAATCTCTCTGCAGAAGGAAATAGGTTTGGGAGTGGGGTTGGAATATGATGAAAAGGGACTTTTACCTTAATAACATTTGAGTTTTTAATAAAGAGAACATTTCTATATTACTCCTACATTTTAAAAATATATAACTGGATAATACTATGAAAAATTACCTGGAATATTTCTCATTATTTCTCTTTGCTCCTAGATTTTTTTCCCCATCTTGTCATCTTGGTACTCTGAGTTCATTGCATTAGGAAGGTAAAGACCCAGCGCAAATAAGGGAGAAAAAAGAAAAAATTCTTGGCTATGGACTGTTAAAAGCAGGAGCTCACAGTAGAACAAGAGAATTTATGTGAACAAATAATAAATCTCACTTCAGTTGTAAAAAAGCATTCCCTGCGCTGGGAGGTAAGAAAGAGAGGGAGGGAAGTATTGAGGGAGAGAGATTAGTGTGACCAGGAACAAGAGAACAGTGTTCAGGATCAGAATCAGTATCTGCAGACCATCCAGCTGCACTTGACCACTGGCTCCAGCCACCACTCTCAAAGTCAGACACTGGGAAACTCAGAGAGTGAGTGAGTGTGAGTCGGAGGGGCACACCTAGCTGGCTGCACCTCCCTGATAGTCTGTGTGGCCAGCGTTGTAGCCAGTCCTTATTTGTGAGAAGTTCCCATCTATTTTCATGTTCTGTTCTAGTTCATTTAAGCTGATTTCAGGGAGGGGAGTTCAGTTTCATCTACTTTATTAGAATCCTAACCCACAGTTTAAAGATGAGCTTGAGTATGTCTTCAGACCCCTCTGAAATACCTTACTCTGAGTAACAGTCCATAGCCAAGAATTTTTTTCTTTTTTCTCCCTTATTTGTGCTGGGTCTTTACCTTCCTAATGCAATTATTCAAAATTTGTTTAGTTCGTGGCCCCACTGTGGATCTGGTGTGACAGACTTGTGAAGTCACCTTAGACAAGCATTCAAGCCACAGGCCTCGATTTCCTATGTCATGGTCACTGCAGTTCTTGTGAGATAATGTGAGCTTCCTGCAATGCTCCGAATCCTACCCCCAGGCCTTCATGCTGTTACGCCCCTGCACGCTTCACAGGGAAATCTCTATCCCAGCAGGAACCACAGTGAGAACCCTCTTTTTTTTTTTTTTTAATCCTTACCCAAGGATATTTTTTCCATTGCTTTTCAGAAAGAATGGAAGGGAGCGGGAGAAAGAGG